AGTGTATATTTTAAAGGTCACAAAAAATGCAAGGACAATGTCGGTTGCAACTTCACGTCATCACTCATTGACTTATTAATTGGATGCATATTGCTATATTTATTTGAAAGGCGTATTGGCGCGAATAATCGTTTTCTATATTTTGTGATTTAAAAAAAATTGTAACCTCAAATATTTGAAATTACAAAAAAGACTTAATTAAAAAGGTTTTACTATCTAACATCTCGAACATTTGTTACATTTTATTTAATTACGAAACGGTCAATGACAGATATAACGATAGGGTAGTAACCCCCGTGCTTTACCGTTAACGGTTTTTGTATCGATTAAATTCGATCGGTTTTTGGGGCGTCACTACGTCACTACAGGTTGACTGTAGTTATGATTGATTATTTAAAAAAAGGTTTTAATTTTTAACTATGCATTTTTAGAATTGTGTATGAAATATGAATTTATCGTTGTGTAGAAAACAATTATTTTTTTATCTTTAATGCATGTATTTAGCATTATCAATGAATTGAGTATTTTGATATTAAAATTAAGGGTATTCTTCTAGCTCTACAGCCCTTTGTGGGTCTTGGCTTGGGTTAGCAACTTTTTCCACCCCAGTTTATCTCAGTCAACGGATTTCTAATTTGCTATACCCACTTTTTTGTGTCTTTACGCCATCTAGTTCACCATTCACTAAATAACAAATCTGTGTAGGTTAGTTTTAGAAAACCTTTTTTTTATATAAATGCAACAAAAATTTATGTACGACAAGTTGTCTCCCGCGACTCTGTCCACGAGGAAAAAACTTCTTAAGTAGCCTATGTATTCTTCCAGACTATGTTCTACATCTATACCAAGAGTATTAGTAAGATACCAATATTAGTAAGATATTTAATCTTTCCGGTAACCGCAAAAAAATACCAAAAACCGTTAAATCATACACTATACCGGTATAGGAATTTCCTGAAATAAATCGTCGTTAGGAAATGCGGTATATTTGTGCCGATATCCTTCCTGCAACCTTGACTTGTTGCTAAATATAGATATGACAGATGTGGCTGCGCTAACGTATTTGAGGTTAGCTAGTGATGCGAAATATTTTTTTGTTTCCGGTTTTTTCATTGACAAA